TCAAAAAAAAAAAAAAAAAAAAAAAAAAAAAAATCTTCATTTTATTCACAATTTTTCGAGGTGCTACAAAAAATTTAAGCAGTAGTTTTTGAAAGCCAGGTAACGTTGTATCTCTAACATTTATTGAAGCTTGAAGCTTCTCCAATATTTACAAAATATAAAGGAGATACTACACACAAAAACCCTTGTGTCCAAAGTTATTTCTTTATTCTCAAAGACAAGAAGAAAAGAAAGCACATCATGTACTTTAAACTCTAGAAGCAATTGAGTCATTTGCGTCTCGTGGACAGGAGCTACGCATCCTGTCCCTTCCCATCAAGGCCAAGAGTTCACCTGAGGTAATGCGTTTGCACTGGGGGTGAGGCGTTGAATTGCAGCAAATAACCTGCATGTATTTGCATATTTAACCAGTACTCTTAAGAAGGATTATACAAAAACCTGTTCCAGGCAGCTGCTTACTCATTACCTTTAGAATTGCGTGGTGCTGGGATTGGCAGGTGCCAACTGCTTGCTCATTCTCTTTGACCCACCAGCCTTGCAGTTTGCTGTGTGGGTGTTGATACTCCTAAATTAAAGCAGGAGAGGGGTGGTTTTAAATGGCTTTTAACACCTGCTCTCCACCCAAGCACCCTGGGTTCACTTGATATCTGGGTTCTAATTCTGTAGTCAGGAGACTGGCCCAAACTGTGGCCCAGAGAGAAGTGAGTCAGTGGCAAGTGGCTGGCTGACTCTATGGGAACAGAAATAAAATGCAGCTTAGAGGGTTTGTCAGCCAAATCCACAAATTTGTGGCTTTTTGAAACATTGGACATCTGTTCCTCTTAATTTAAAATAAACTTTTTTTTTTTAAGCACAAAGTTGCTTGGCTCCTTGTTTCTTTGTGTCAGCAGCAGTTGCTGCTCTAATTTAGGAAGCCTGGGATCTGATTTAGGACATTTGGAATCTTTAAGGCACACTTTAGTCTAGAAGGTGGAACTGAATTGCTTTGGAAAGGCAAGAGGATGATTTTACAGTATAGGGTTTGTGTGGAAATCCCCTTCAGGGGTAATCAACCCAGGTGTCCAACCTGTTTGTTAACCATTTCCAAATGACTCAGAGGACAGAGGGAGGGCTTGAACACACTCCAGCACTGTTTCTACAATTTAGCCTTTATTTGCATTGGAAACCACATTCCTGAATTCTTGAGGGGCAGGCTCTGGCTTATTCTGGGCAACTGACTTCAAGTGGGACCCCTGACCTACCTGTGTAAGTGAATAGTCGGCCATCTCCGGAGAGTTCCCAGGGAGGAGGATATTTCTGTGCAACTTGCTTTGATGACCTCCACCCAAAGCCCTTTGAGGAACAGTTTTGTTCATTCAAGGAACCCTTGGCAGGTCACTCCTCCCACCACCACCACAAATCTAATCCAAATGTGGCATTTTCCTTTGAGGCCATCTGTCCCCTTTGGGGGACAAAACACGAGCAGCTTTTCCCTTCAGACCACTTTTGATTGAAGCAGTGATCAACATTGCTTAATTATGTTCCAGCCTGTTTCCGTTGGGGAAAAAAAATGCTTCAAAGGAGTGGCAGTTAGGGATTTGAAAACAGGGATGGTCCCGCCTTTCCCTGAAGGTCGGGAATGACTTAGATCACTGTCTTCCTTTGGCTCCTCACCATGTTGTGTGGAGGAAACAAAAAGCAGCCCAAGATCACTCCTGGCAGCAGTGCGGAATCCTGACTCGCCACGTCCCTGGAGAACCATGTTTTCCTCAACTTGTTTTTTTGAGACAAAGTTTTGCTCTTGTTGCCCAGGCTGGAGTGCAGTGGCGCGATCTCGGCTCACTACAACCTCTGCCTCCTAGGTTCAAGTGATTTTCCTGCCTCAGCCCCCAGAGGAGCTGGGATTACAGAGGTATGCCACCACCATGCCCAGCTAATTTTTGGATTTTTAGTAGAGACTGGGTTTTCCCATATTGGCCAGGTTGGTCTCAAACTCCTGACCTCAGGTGAGTCACCCACCTCGGCCTCCCAAAGTGCTGGGATTACAGGCGTGAGCCACTGTGCCTGGCCTTTTTTTGGTTTGTTTAATACAGAACACTTAACGAATTTGAGTGCCATTCTTGGGCAGGAGCTGAGCCATGCTAATCTTCTGTATATGGCTCCAATTTTGGTGTATGTGCTATTGAAGCGAGCACCCAGCTTCTTTTCATTAGTTAGAAAGATGAAGGCTGGCCAGGCATGTGGCTCATACCTGTAATCCTTTGAGAAGCCGAGGTGGGCAGATCACTTGAGGTCAGGAGTTCAAAGCCAGCCTGGCCAACATGGTGAAACCCCATCTCTACTAAAAATACAAAAAAATTAGCTGAGCGTGGTGGCGGGTGCCTGTAATCCCAGCTACTCGGGAGGCTGAGGCAGGAGAATTGCTTGAACCCTTGAGGCAGAGATTGCAGCGAGCCAAGGTCGTGCCACTGCACTCCAGT